AGGAGGTCAGTATTTACTTAAGGTGTCAGTATTTATTTGGGTTATCAAGTGTGAGATGTACTTGTAACAAGCTTTCCTAAGTTAACCTGTAACCAACAAATAAATCAGATTCCAGCATCAAAGAAAAGCACCAGATTTGGAGAGTAGAAAGTTGCTCAAATATAGAGAGGGATATGATGAATATTTCTAGTAACTTAAGCTGGCCCACTTTATGATTTCAGATAGTGTTTGCAGCAAATTTGATCTCCTACAAAAACAACCAATATCTGACATGCTATAGAGATAGAGATGTTCTCAATCTTCCATGTTATTACTCCCAGGTTGTTTAATTTCAATTTTTAACTTTTTTTTGTTTTTTTTTGGGGGGGGGGGGTGTGGGAGGGGGATTAGCCCCTCAGGAGATTGTAAATGTAGGTTTACATGCAGATAGTTACCAACATTTTCAGACATGTCCACCTTTCAATGTAATGGTCAATTGAATTGCTCATATACAAGAGTTTCACTATGCAAGATTGGGTCACCTGTGGTTTACTTTACTTAGATGGTACTACAAAGAGGAGGAAGTTGGAACTTGTCAGTCAGTATTCTTTGTTTGGCAACATAGAATGTCTTAAAGCTGTTAGGTTAGCTGGAAATTCAAGGGACTTACTGCTATTGAGCTTTAAGGACGCCAAGGTATTCTCTTCTTGAAGTTTAAGCAATTAAATATTAAGTTTGTTTTAAATAAAAATCAATGACTGTTTTTTTTTTGTGGGGGTTTACACAAATGAAGAATAAGCCTTTTGAGTTGATTAACCCTAATAACCTCTGTGGGTGACCAAGACAGAATATCTTCTTACTATATCAATACAATATCATGCAGACAAGTGATGAGATTAAAGAAAAATATCAATGATGGGATTACTAATTGATCCAGTACCAAATTCTTCAAACTAACATAATAAGAATCATTTGGCAGACAGTAAGGAGAATTACTGATGAGATCTTGGGAGTTAAAGGGTTAACATAGATCCTGTCACTTTTGAATAATGAACAATTCATATTTAAAGAAGAAATGTTCTACAATTTAGAATGTTATTTACATCATGTAGTGGACCTTAAGTTTATATAAGGGTCAACATTAATTTTGATAAAATGTTCTTTTAAATAAATTAATAACTAATTGATTTGTAATCAGCCACTGAGAATTTAATTAATTGGCAAGAGAAACCTTAATATGCATGTAACATTAAACTAATATTTCCAAAAGATTCAATTGTCACCCATTAAATCCTAAGATATTAACAAGACCTGTATTAAATTACACTACTCATGAAGCACTTTAAATGAAATGTATCAGATGAGAAAGATTTTCCATTTTATGTCATTGTTTGTTCCACTTTTACTTCTCTGCCATTGATTTTAGTAGACTGAGAAGAAAAAGAAAAATTTAAGTCAAGGTGAACACATTAGCCTTGATATCTAACATGATGTCCAAATGTTTAAATTTGGATTCTTTGAAGTGTTCCTTGATAAGTGTCATTTTATTATGAGTGCAGCTTGCTGTGGTGGATTATGATCCAGGCACTCATGATCAGAAGACAAAAAGTTTGCATTTCTTTGAAGACAAGCAAAAAAGCAAGATAGTAGAATTTTTTGGTAAACCTCTACAATGTTAGCCAAAATTTTAAATTGATCACAAAATGTTGTCTTCATAGCAAGAATGGTTATAATTCAAATAAAAGCTATTGTTAAGTAGTGTGTACTAGAGCCAAGAGACTCATCTGGCTGGAGCTTATCCTGGTTTCCATCAATAGTATGAAGTGGCAAGATCTTTTAGTCCCCCCCCCCTCCCTGAACAAGATGCCAGTCTATTGAAAGATTGCAAGGTTACATTGTACCTCTTCCCCCCACCCCCAACTTTTCATCAGGCTTCCCTCAAAATTCACTGCAACCCAACTTTTTGGCTCTGGGTGAAACTAGAGAGGCACTGTGAAAGGAAAGTGTTTCACCCCAGAATGTAACATATTGAATCCCAGACCTTACCCAGAGTCCAGTGCATTAAACATCAGGCCATTGTGTTTTCCATACCTATTGGTAACTGGTCAATAATTATAGGGAAATTTAAACATGATGGTTTTCTTTTGTGATCAACTTAATGATAGAAATGACATAAAAGGGATTTTGTTAAACTTAAGGCCTGTAATGCACTTTTATGCCCACTAGAAACTATTTTTTATATACATCAGGAGTTAAACTAGGTACATTAGGTTGGAAACAGGCAAAAGTCACCTCATGAAGTTTGTTTTGCCCTTCATCAGTTTAGTGGTGAATATGTCAAGGACAATCACTTTCAAGCTGTCCATTCAAAGTTGGTGTATACAGTAGAAAAATTATACACAGACCTGCCAAGAAGGAAGAACGAATCCAAAATTTTTGTTTTATAAACTATACTTACCAAGTTGTTTAAGGACCTGT